TGACTACATTTATTTCAGAAGCATTTTGGCTGTAGAGCAGTGTTATTTATTGTATTATATTGTATTGTATGTATATTACTGCAGCACTTGAGGGCCCCAGTCATGTTGTGCTAAACACTGAGGTAAAAGTTGGTCCTTGCCCTGAAAAGCTTGCAGTCTAAGACAAGATGTAATAAGTGACTGTAACAATCAGAAGGAGCTGGAGAAGGAGTCATGGGGGGAATCTGGATGTACAAAGGCTCATTGGGGGGGTGTTTCCAGGTGCAGGGGCAATGGGACTCTGCAGAAGTTTCCAGGTGAAAGTGGTTGGGGCTCAGTGGAGGGGTCTGGGTGTGGGGGTCTCAGCAGGGAGGTCTGGGTGTTGGGGGAGCAAGACTTGGTGGGGTGGGCAGTCTGGGTGTAGCTATTTGGGGGTCAGTGGGGTGGGGGTCTGGATGTAGGGGCTCAGGGTGGTGCAGGGGGTGGGGCATCAGAGGAGGAGTTTGAGTGCAGGGGGCTCAGTGGGCTGTGATCTGGGTGCAAGGGTGGGGGTCCGGAGGCAGGGGGTCTGGGTGCAGAGGGGCTTCAGATGCAGAGGTTGAGGTCCAATGGGGTGGGGTTTGGGTATGGAGAGCTAGAGGATTCTGCGTGTATGGGGTGGGCTTGGTGGGGGTGTCTGGGTATGGGAGGTCTGGATGCACAGGGGTTGGGCAGATGAGGGAGCACCTCCCCAAACGGGGACGCCTCCTCCCCACAGCTGAGGAGCAATGGGGGCAAGAAGCAGGGGAGGATGCTGAGCTTCCTGCAGCTGGGGGAGGTTTCTGGGCGTGGGTCTGATGCAGCCCCAGCCACTCCTTGCAGGGGAAGAAGAAGTTCCGTCCTCTCCTGCCTCCAGCCCAGCCGGGATTAACACCTGATCCTGGCTCAGGGTAGGAGCCACTGGCTGGGATGTCCCCAGCCCTGTGTTGATTTACCTCTCCACTGGCTGCTCCAGGTGCCTGAAACGATGTACCTGCACAGCTAGGGAGTGGTGTGTGACTGCTCTTGCAGCTTCCCTTTGCTTCCCTGTCAGAAAGTCATTTTTCTACGGGGAAGCAAAGAAATCTTCAGGGGACATGAATTCTGCGCAAATTCCCCCAAGAGTATATATCACAGACCACCAACAGCACATAGGACCCGCATACTAAGGATGAGGGAAACAGTAATAAGAACATGTGTTTATATAGAACATCTCTTTGCACAACTAGATTATTTTGAGCTGATTAGGGTTTTGTTTTGTTTTTTTGAAGATTTAAGCAAATAAGTTAAACATCAGAGGTCCCTACGTCTAGGCCACCATCACCAGGCAATTTCCCATAGCATCATGACAGAAGTGTGTATTGAAGAGAAATTTGGAGGAAATTGTAGGGGCTTACCAGACTATTTCAGGGACAGTTTACCATGCATAAGGGTTGCATGGAAGATTGTGTGATGTTGCTTGTGAAGCAAGTGAATAATTGGGCAATGTAGTATAAAGAACAGCATTATTAGTAGAGCATAGGACATGGGGCGTTGACACAATAAAGTACAAGTACAGATAAGAAGGATGGGTCTAAATTGAGAAGGGCCTTAACAAGTCTGGAACAGACAGCTTCTGAAGGGGAAGCCAGTGGAAGGACTCAAAGAGCAGGGTGATGTGTTCAGACATACGGGTCAGGAAGATGACCTTAGCAGCAGTATTTTGAATATACCTCAGGGAAGCGAGGGTGAGTGTCAGGAAGACCAGAAAGAAGGAGGTTGCAATTGTCAAGACGGGCAAGAATAAGAGCTTAAACAACAGTGAAAAGACTGAATTTTAGAGATGTTATAGACATTTGGACACAGTCTGAAATGGATGCTCATATTTGCATTCCAAAATAATGTTACTATTCCTTTAGCATTTAAACTAAAATGCAGAAGCAGTAGAAGAATGAAGAAAAGGATGGACATCAGTTCCACGACAACAAATAGCCCTGGTAATCGCACTTGTAATGAAAAAAACATTATGTTTCTTTTACAGAAGAACAGTGAGGAGCCAAGTAGGAGCCGAGTCCACAAGTCTACTCTAACCAGAAAATAAAGAAGATGCGAAGAGTCTGACCTTCCTGCTTAAAGGCCTGATCCAAATCCAATTCATATCAATGAAAAGTCTCCCATTATCTTCAACGGGAGTTGAATTGGGCCTCAAGGAAACAGTGAAAAAGAGAAAGTTTAAAATATCTGCATATAGTCTCTGTCTGTATGAAACTGTTCTCACTTTACCAGCAAGCAATATATGAAAAGTGGTTAATTGGTGGAAAATGCATGCTGTCAATTTCAGCATTGCCGCTTAAGCTTGCAGGTATAGCTATCTTAGTATTTATACATTCCACAAGAATTCCTTCTCAATTAATGGTGCACCATACATAGATCTATCCAAGAAGTATAAGCCAGTTATGTCTGAACTATAATTTAAACCTCAACTAGAACATAAAGAATGTAAATAGCAAACATTAAAATAACATAAATATCATGAATGGATGTAAATGTCAAAGGGAAACAGAGTTGGACAACAGTGACTAACCCTTATCAACCTACTTCTGAAGCACAGTAAGTGACTAGCCAAAGTGTTAAGCATAATGGAGAAGATCTCAACAGGCCATCACTCTGACATGGACTCACAGTACCCAGAGACAGACAGAAACACACACATAATTTTAAAAGATAAAAGTATATTTGGTATTGGTTTGATACTGTTCATTACACAGTTCTTGTTCAATAACAATATTTGCATGCGCAATTTTTTGTGGTTATTTTACCAAGATTTTTATTTTACTAACAAAACGGGTTTTCTTCCATCCATATACTCCAGAAGGTTATTTGGACTGCCAAAGAATTATTGTACTGTAAAAAATAAAGATGATCAGCTGCAGACTGTTAAATGCTGAACAAAAGAAATACATTTCTGCAATGAATATAAACTCCCTCTCATAGTAACTTGGTAACTCAGTATATTAAGAGTTAGTAAGCACTGACAATCAGATTAAAATTATTATTTAAATTCTACTTCTCAACAAAACATGGTGGGAACTATTATTCATAACTACTGTAGTTCCCCTTGAGGAATCCAAAGAAAACATGGTTGACGGGTCATGTCCCACTGCTGGGCTGGCATACCTTTCCCTGGATAACAACAGTCTTTTTAAGGCTGCTGGGTAAATTGTGGTCAACCTTGTAACATTATAATAAACTATCAACATTAAGTAGCCAATGCCAATCAAGAATGAGATAAGAAGGGGAAAATATGTAAAATAAATAAAATTTCATTTAATTACAACAGCTTGTTTTCATTTCAATAAATGTATTTCTTAGATATTTCCATTTCACCTAAAAGAACAAATTTCATACCTTGTTTGTAAAGGCAAGGACTGAAACTCAGCAATATATTTTAGATAAGCTATGCATAACAGATTAAAAATAATTGCTAAATTCTTCATCCTATTTAAAAAGTCACTTCAGTTGAAAAAATACATGCAGCAACTGCCTTTAACTTTACATAACTTAATCAACAATTGTTAGAGCAGCATTCACCCTTGTTAAGGCTCAGATCTTCTAGATGATGAAAATGCTAAAGAACAACCAGACCTGCAAAGACTCTCCTCCATTTTAGATTTTTTTTCTAACCTGCACCTGTCAATGAAAAGTTTAAGTGAAAGGAATTCAAGATCACTGTACAGATTTTAAAAAGTGCTCTCCGCCCAGCAACTCCCACTGAAAACAATGGAGAATCTCTCTGCCCCACCTCAAACTGGGGACTGAGCTTTTTTAAAAACCTGGCCACTTATTTAGGTGCCTAAATGGGAACTATAGGTTGCTGTGCCCTTTTGAAAATCGGGCCTACGACGTGTAGTTCTTATAAATAGGTGACAAAAAGTACTGTATCATAAAACTAATAATAATTTGTAATGCAAATTGAACGGGAAATCACAATGGGATGTGCTCACATATATTATTGTTTAAAATTGAAGTTCAGTTAATGTACACAGTTATTGCTGCTGTCCTAACTTTTGCATTTAATCAAACTACATGATGTTGGTTATCTCAAGTGAATGTAATGATCATAACTGCATTCCATAGGGAATGATGTTCTCTGCCTAGCCATAAAATGCCTACAGTCACACAGCTCCACTAATTTGCCTCACCTTGTTCTAAAGCAACCACCTCTGGATGAAAGAGTAGTTCAGTCTCCCTGCCCATTTATTCCTGGGGTTCTCTGATGATATTGCCAACATAGGTGGGTGCCAGTTGCAATAGTGGTTTTGGTGAGGGAGCTGGACTAGATGACCTCTGGAGGTTCCTTCCAGCCTGAATTTCAATAATTCTATGTGATCACCTGACCACTTGGAAATGGAATAAGATCTTCTTTCATCAACTTATTTCACACAGGCTTAAGAGCCATCTGACAGTAATATCTACTGTCTTGTTTAGGAACTGAATCAGTAATTGCCAAGTAAAAGGCTGTGTATACAATTAACAGTCTTCTGAAGCATTTTTGTAATGCTTGATGCCTTATTGTAGTCTTTTACTGTAAACACTACTACATTAGATGAGAGGAATCTCTAACGCCACATTAATAAATCTAACAGTAACATATTAACAATTTTACTGTGATTTCACAATACTAAGCAATAACTCAAAACTGACACCCTTAATATTGTTAGCTTATAAATACATTTAACACTTCTGTTAATTTGTCAATATCAAGCATATCCCTTTAAAAGGGAAACAGAAAAACCATCTAGATTATAAGCAATGTAATATGACCAGTGTCCAAAAAGAGGCCCTTAAATGAAGTTATATTTTAACTGGTTTTAATATTGGCTTGATTTTACTTTTAAAGGACACTGCAAATTGACAGTAAGAAACAATGAAGGAAGTTCTATGACACATCAGTGTTTTTATCCATTTGTTTTGTCTGGCCTCTGTGTTATAACACATTGTAGGATCTGAAAAACAAATATACAACTTTTCTAAAAGTAATATTTACTCAACAGAAAATATTGCTCTTGTTCTGGTTCACCTACTTCCATTTTTATGCTGTAGTTCCGGCCAAGAACACTCTCCAGGAGTTCTTTGATCATCTGGTCTGAGGGAGACTGAAAAGTAGACTGCAGAGAAGCAATTATTTCATCAATAGACCTTGCAACCACTCTCACAGGCAACTTTGGTGTGGAAGTAAGCTCTTCTGGTTTGCTCTGCTGGAAGTTCTCCTCGTATATTTTTGAAGTGTCTGGTCTAGTTATGTCTCTAGCCTCTTCCAACTGCTCTGAAGCAGACCTCACACTTGGATGGCTGCAGGAGACACTGCTTCTTTTACTCAGTACTCTTCCCGGCTCAACAACTGAATCTTGTTGACTTGCTTTTGAAAGTTCTCTGCATACTTTCTTATCTTTTTTCCTAATAACTTTTTTCTTTTTAGAAGCCTTTTCACTTGAATCAGAATCTGTAGAACTAGATTCATCACTTTCTTTACTGTCATTGCTAGCTTCTTTGGTTCTATTTGTTTTTACAGTCTGAATGTTTATCTTTAGAGAATGGGCTCTACTCTGCACTTTTCTAGTATCTTTGACTTTCTGTAACAGAATGGGGGTGTTATAAGTTACTAGTCTTGGACGAAGAATAAGTTTGCGATATTTAGGCTTCCGAGGTGGTGCTGGTTGTTTTAACATAGTGATTTTTTTAGTGGTCCCTGCTAAAGATGCTATTACTGGCATCTTTACACTTGTACTTTCATGACTACAACTACTATTTTCCATATTTATTTTTTCAGAGTAACTTTTCTGATTTTTGTCAGCACTGTCCTCTTTTACAGAAGATTTATTTCTTTGAGTCATCGTGCTGAGATCATGAGTTTGTTTTTTCATGTCTCTTACTTCAGGAGAGATCCTTACTTTTCTGTGAATTTCAGAACTGCCAATTAATTCATTAGGAACATTTTTATTTATATTAGTGATAGGCTTATGTGGACTCTCTGACCTCTGAAGATGATACTGCTCTAACTGATGTGACTGATCTGGTGTTAAATCTTCCAGGAAGGGCTGAGTGCTCACATTTGTATGAGCAGTAGCTACTGCTTGTTTGAATTTAAGAAAATCCTGCCGAGATTCTTTGCATATAATCTCACGCTCCTTAATCATATTTAGTTCTTCTAGATAACTTAGTCCAAAGTGCTCGTGTTTTCTAGCCATTTCCTCTTAATGTATGTGGCCTGTAAAGCAAAACAGAAATGTGTTTATATATGTTATATACAAACATAGACCCCAATCCTGCAAAGACTTGTGCACATGCTTAACTTTATGCACTGTGAGTAGTTCCATTCATTTCAACAGGACCGCTGACAGTATGTACAGTTAAGCACGTCTGACCAGCCACTAGCACTTTATCTACACCAACTCCAGCCATTGCTACCACTGCTAGCAACTGCTGGAAATCTAGTGTAGAGAAGGCCTAAAAACGAGAGTGCTAAATGCAAAAAAAACAAAAAAAAAACGGGTGGAGCCTTCACCTGCAATAATAAATGATCCCCTCCAAAAATATACTACTCTCTCCAATCAAAGAAAAAGATCCCCCTAAAGAAACTTCCCTTTAAAAAAGTATATGGAAAAGATACAGCCCCAAAGGAAACCAGCTACCCCCAAAAACAGATACAACCTGACCTCCCCAACATGAAATATACCACCCAACTCCCCCAAATGGGACCCCTCCTAAGCACGCACCCAGCCCCCAAATGTACCCCTGGCCCGCCCCAAGACACCCCCAAAAGATACCACCATACCCCGATCTCCCCCCAAAATAACGCGCCCCCAGGCTGAACGACAGCCCGTGGCGCGGAAGGGTCCGTGAGGCCCTAGACCGAGCTCTCTCACCTGCCCCCGGGGAGACAGCTGGGCACAGCCTGCGTCCCCGGGCTGGAGGGCAGGGAGAGCCACAGCCACAGCCCTTCCCGCGGGGCGGCGGCTCTGCCCAGACACTGGGCCGGGGGCGGGGGGACGCGCTCGGGAACCTAGCAACAGACCCGCTCGGCTCGGTGCATGCGGCCCGGCGGGAGAAGAGAGGGGCCCGCGGGGCGCCTGCTTCTCGAGAGCGCCCCCTGCAGCCGGGGAGGGTCCAGCGCCGCGCGCCACACGGGGGCAATGGAGGGCGGAGGGGAGGATGCTCCAGCCCTGCCCGGATTAACCTCCCCCGGCCCCGGCTGCATTTCCCCGGCGGTAGCTGTGCTGGTCTCAGCGGGGATGCAAAAGGCGAGGCAGCTCGCGCTGATGAGATCCAAGCTTCAGCGAGTAGCGCAGGGCACCGGTGCCGGACTCACTGCGGAGTGGGTCCAGCTCCTCCAGCAGTCGGTGCAGCTGCACCCGCTTAGGCCAGCCGCCAATGTGGCCCCTGCTCTGCTAATCTCGGGGTCACCCGACGAAGGGGGACACTTGGCTTCCGAGGCAGGCGGAGCCATCTGGACACCGGGCTGTGTGAGGTGTGTCTCCTCCCCAGCCCCGCGTGGGGACGCACTGGGAAACCTTGTAGCTGCGATCCGGCTTGGGAACTGTGCCCTGAGGTTACCCGCTGGCTGAGGGGTCGGATGTCTCCCAGCCACGAGAGCAAGCAACCTTCAACCTGATCCTGGATTTTCCTTCAGCCTCTTTTCTTCTCTGTATAAAGAAAACTCTGTTGCGCGGTGGATGATGCTGTGCACTGGCTCCATGACATTTCTACTCTGAGACTGACTGTCAAAATGGCATTCATGGGGTTTCATATTTATTACGTCTCAGAGACTTCCAGATAAAGTCCAAATACGTCTTTCTAACTGCCAGCCCTGCAAACTCAGCCTGGAGCTGAAGGTCAAACTTGGCTCTTTCTGGCTCATTCATCAGCAGCAATAAAGTTTCGATCACTGGAATTTAACTAAAAAGGTGGCTCGGGACCCGTGGGACAGAACAGAATCCAGTCCTGCTCCCAGAACTGTATCCACTTTGCAGTGCTAACGGGAGTCAAAAGTAGAGAAAACAGTTGTGAATGGAGCCTTCCTAGTGCCTGTGGTTGTGGATAATAACCTAGTTTCCTATCCAAGAGGGACCCACTATACCTGATATAGCTAAGATCTGAGAGTTCCATGTTAACACTAATCCTTTTGGAGATTTCTGATTTGGGAGGATGGGGGTCCCTTCCTTAAAATAATCACGCCCAATGCGATAGCAGAACCTTTTAGATACTTATCCAAACTGAACCTGGGTATCTCTGAGGCTGGCCCATCATTGATGTAAATGGTCTTCGCCACCAAGGTTTATATATCATTCAAAATGAAAGAAGAGCAATAATTCTCACAAGAGAACCCAAAAGACAGAACCCAGAGAAAGAACAGAGACAGATTAATGAATTTGAACACTTATGCCCTTCCGTTGTTTCTTTTGATAGTCCATCTAAGCCCAGAAAATGCCTTGTTATTTTCAGGAAGATGTTTACTCCCGAGATGGAAAATGATTCTCTCCTCTCTAAGAGGGTTTGTCATCATTCACTCCATTTAGCTTTAAGGTGGGAGGGGAAAGAATCCAACAAGAAGTGCCAAAGAAACTGCCTCAGCAAGTGTTGTATCTTTCAAGCTAGAAGAATCATAGATGAAACATTTCTGGTTCACAACATCCGGGAGACAGGCATCAGGTGCTTGGTGATGAATCCATTTAATTCAGAGACACTCAAACCCAAGTGACAGATACAAAGCAGAATCCCTGTCCTTCCAGTTTTTATGCTTATTCCTTCTATTTTCACTTAATGTGCAAACTATTTGGAAGGCTCTCAACCTAGTGGTTTTGCTATGTACCACAGCACTTACCCTTATTAATATTTATGTACAAAACAAACCAGGTTGCTGGGTAACCCAGGGGTGAAGACCAGTGTGTGTTACAGGTCCCCCCTGTGCTGGATCAACAGAGGATTTGAGTTTGCTAAGGCCCCAGCTACAGAACTCTTTAGCCCAAGCTCTAGAGATTTGCACTTCCAGATCAGTTCAGTCTCTAGTGTTGGCCAAGATGGTGGCCATCACAAATGCATTAGAAAAATATACAAAGCAAAGCTCCACATAATTTACCATAATCTGAATTTAGGTGAAGGGTTTAGTACTCTCCACTCCCTTGAGAGGCAGCAATTCCATTGCACTCTAACAAGATTCTAATTACCTGACTTCTACCTTACTGTGTTGCTCCAAGCACCAAATTTCTGAAGTTCAGCTAATTCACTGGCTTGTATACCCTGCACCTGCTTTTCTATAGTCCTTTATTAATTTCTCCCTTTAAAATAATCTCCTTATATTAAACATACCAGATAATACCCCGGGAGGGGGAATCCACCGTCCAGTTATCCCTGGCCTCCTGGTGCTCTGCAGCATCAACATATAAGCAGGCAAGTGTCCCACTTTTGTGACATAGAGCCACAGTTGCAACTTGCCAGGAGCTGTGTGGCTGCAGCAAATTTGCATACCTGTTTGCATAATCTAGTCATGTCTGTGGATTGTCGCTATAAATGGATGCTTTTATTTCACCCGTGATGGTCCCCAAACAGCTGTCTGATAATAATGAACTTTTGTGATAAGTTACTTGCACCAGATTCAAACTAGTGACCCAAGTGGTGGAAAGGCAGTGAAAAGCACAGAACCAATATTATGATGGTTTTATATGGTAAGTATCTTTTCAGATTATTCTGCTTCTGACTGTATAGCCTTGAGAAGCCTTTTCTACCTATTTGTGTTCCTGCAGCTCAGTAACAAATGTATTTCTTCCAAATAGTTCAGGTTAGACTAAGCAAGAAGATAGAATTTTACTTTTTTCAGGCAACAAAGGATGGGTGAAAGCACAGAGAACATGAGTCTGTCACATTACACCCAGGATTACTGGAAGGGTTCCTTCTATTAGCAAGGTAAGTGATTAAAGCTTTAAGAACTTTTGCTTGCTCTGAGGAACATGACTTCAGCATGGAGTAGTCTATCAATGTAGGGTGCCCTCTGCAGCCCATTATTTTTCTATGTAATTTGTTTCCCCTTCTCCCCAATACACTCATTAATAAATAGCTATTTGTTTTATGTTGCAGTAACCTAGTTAATCATTCAAGCCATCATGCTACTATTCTGCACAATAGGAATGCAAGCAAAAGTTGATAGAGATTGCTTTCTTCGTAGAGGTAAGAATCATTAGCTGAGCCATATAGTTGGGATTCTAGGAAGCAGCTCAGTCCCAAACTAACCTAATGGTAAATAATAAATCAGCATCTCACTTTATCTTTGATAGTTCTTCTCTGCAGGAGTCACTGTGGGGGATGGAAGAGAGGGCACTGAACATGAGGAGGTATTTGCATCAGGAAGTTTAGGAAGATGGCACTGAATGGAAAGAGGTATTTGCATCAGGAAGCTTCAGGAAGGAGGAAAAAACCTTAGCGATTGCTTCTTCCAGGTCACAGTTGTGATACAATGGTGGAGCACTGCAGGAAAATTAGCATTCTATGCTGCCCATCCTGTATCTGTTCTGTTCTCGGGACTGATTCAAGCAAAACTGGGATCCCCTTCAAAAGTATTCATTTGGGCTGCAAGAAAGGCCCAAGATTTACTTTGCATATGTTTTCCCCTTATTCCACCTGGCCTCAATGCCATGCAAGCTAGCTGGGGTCAGCACCCATGCAGGGCCGGCTCCAGGGTTTTGGCCGCCCCAAGCAGCCAAAACAAAACAAAACAAAACAAAACAAAAGCCGCGATCGCGATCTGCGGCGGCAATTCGGCGGGAGGTCCTTCGCTCCCAGGCGGAGTGAGGGACCGTCCGCCGAATTGCCGCCGAATACCTGGACGTGCCGCCCCTCTCCGGAGCCACCACCCCAAGCACCTGCTTGAGAAGCTGGTGCCTGGAGCCGGCCCTGCACCCATGGCACCGAGGATGGAAAGATGAAAACGAGCATTGCAAAACATTTGTGGGGCTAATGTCAAGTTAAATAGCAAATATCATTTAGTTTCCTTTGTGAGTAGGGCTGTCCTCAGAGGCTAGTCCAAAAGGCAGCGCTGCCAATTTATCACCTAGTGATTTACTTGAATTCCAGATGCTACAGTGTCTGCATTTCATGGATTAACTCCAGAAGAAAGAGGGCTGTTGGGATGTCATCAGCATGATATTATGCACATATTGGGCTGTTATTTTCTATCTTCTGTTTCAGCTATATTAGGGTTGTCCCTTAGCCTCTAGGCAGATAGTGCCATTACCAAGGTGAAAAGCAGAAGGGACAGGGGACAACCCTGTGTTGACACTCTTCTAAGCTCTGTTTTTTATACCAGTGATTTTAGTAGTATCAAAAGGTTCTGTCTACATAAATTCAATCCAATGTCTAAAACTAGATCTCAGTCTAAATTTAAGAGCTGTATATAGGCTCACTGAGCCTGGTTGAAAGCATCCAAAGGAGATTGTTCTGGGGAGGATCACTTATATATGACATAGATAAAAGTGAGGAAAAAAATACGATTAAAATAAAATGTTAAGAGAGATAAATTTGCAGGGAATGGGAAAACATATGCCAAGATGTAAAAGAACAAGTAATGTTACAACTAATTGATAACAGTGGGAGTTCTGCATGTGGAATGACAAGGATAGAAGCTGACCTACTGTGAGCAGTTTAGGAAAAATATGAACAGTCGGCTCTCAGCTGTCAACTGTTATTTCATCAGTTCCAGGTGTTTCCTCTAGGGTGACCAGAGGGCAAGTGTGAAAAATCAGGACAGGGGGTGGGGGGTAATAGGTGCCTATATAAGAAAAAGCCCCCAAAATCAGGACTGTCCCTATAAAATTGGGACATTTGGTCACCCTAGTTTCCTCTCACTTTCATTTCTGAGAGCACCTTGCCTTGCTTCGTCTGCTTAAGGGTGGCCATGATACCTTTGCTGTTTGCCAGTCTGAGATTATCCTGCAGTGCAAGCCCAACAA